GAGGAGATGACCAGGGTCTCCGGGGCGCGCCCGCCTGCCCCGCTCGGCCGCACCCAGCTGGAGAAGGCGCCCTGAGCAGCCACCCTCCCGGTCCCACCCAGACGCCCTCCCGCCCCAGCCCCTGCCAGGACCCGGACCCCAGCCGTTCTCCCAGGGGGCCCAAGCCCCTTCCTGTCGTCCCTCATGGCCTGGCTCCTGCCGCTGGTCCTCTGCCTCGCTCTGGGTGTGGCTCCGGGCTGCGTGTCCCGCGTTGCCCCTGCGGGCACCAGCGAGCCCCCGGGCGCGCAGACGGGGGCTCCCGCGGAGGACGAGACCCTGCAGAACGAGGCGGACAACCAGGAGAACGTCCTGTCGCAGGTAGGCTGCGGTCCCGGCCTCCCGCCTGCCCGCTGGGGACGAGAGCCTGAGGGCAGTGCTCCCTGAGGACGCGACAGCGTTTCTCACCTTCGCCGCCGAAGTGACAGGCATTGGCTTTTCCGCTGCGGAGTGTTTTGTTAGGGGAAGGGCTGCGGGACCTGTGCTGAAAGTCACGGGGTCTTTCAAGGTGACGGCGTCCGGGGAAAGCAGAGGAGGAGGGGGACCCATCAAAGCCGGTTCGGGCAGTGGAAAGTAGGGCCATCTCTGGTCTGTGTGGCTGTCAGAAGGGACAAGAGAGCAGGCAGGGACGTGGGACAGGAGGAGGAGGTTTCATGGCAGGCGTGAGGCACCGGAGCAGCGGGGGCTGAGCGTGGGCAGGACAGTGACGGCGTGATGAAGCGAGGTGACCCCAACACGGAGGGACAGGCAGCAAGTCCTCCTGAGGGGGGGGCGGGGGGGGCGTGAAACGCAGACCCACTCAGGCCTGGCGGCCGGCCGCGGGGGCGAGTGGCCACTGACGGCGACGGGCTTCGGAAAGCGTCCCCGTGCAAAGGACTGTCCTCGTTTCACCCGACAGTCTTTGCACACCCTGTCCCCACTCTCCAGCTCACAGCCACCAGGCTCGAGACAAGGAGAGCCCGGGGTCCCCAGGATCTTCAGCCCAGACGCCTGACTGTCAGGGGCGGCTCTCTCTGGGTTGCTTATTTCCTGCTCCCCAGAGCCGGGGCAATGGTGTGGGGTGGGTGTCACCATACCCTCGGGAGGGAAAGACTGAGAAGGACCCCACGGCATGTGGCACACCCTGCACCTCACCAAGCCCTGGTGCTGGGGCTCCTTCCGGCTCCGCCGGGCACTCATCGGCACCAGTCTCCCCTTCCCTGGTGGTTGCGTGGGCACGCCGGGCACCACCCCCAGCCCCGCACCCCAGAAATCTGTCTGCCTGGGCTCTGCAGGGCCATCGCCGAAAGCTCCCGGAGACCCGGGCCCTGATGGAGGGACCTGGGGGGCCCAGTGCGGCTTCAGGCAGGGTCTGGGGGAGCCACAGGCAGGGTCTGGGGGAGCCGCAGCCGTCGGCACCGAGTCCCCCCGCCCCGCCTCCGTCCACTGACTGTTCCGCTAGACGACAGCCTTAAAACAAATATGTCAGGAGAAACCCAACGTTTACAAGAAAACAGGACAGCGTCTTCCCCGGGGCAGCACCCGGAACCTTCCCACTCCAGCGAGCTCAGGGCCCGCCTGCCGGGCCGAGTCGCAGGAAGGTGCCCATGCGGAGAAGGGAGCCTGGCGTTGGGACACAGGGCCTGCTGGACAGGAGCTGGGAGGAGCCCGGTCCCCAGCGAGGGCCCAGGAGCAGGCGCCAGAAAGCGCGGCGGCGTTTCCCGCGTGGGGAGGCTGGCAGGCGCCACTGCTCAAGAGGAAGGCTCGCGCGCAGAGGCGGCCATGCCCCCCATTTGCGTCCCGGCTCCAGCCTGGGGTCTGGGTTCAGAAGCTGCTCTAGGAGCCGAATGAACCCTTCAGCTGGGTGAGCCTTACTGGCTCCCGGGCCGGTCCCGTCCAGTTCCCTGTCTGCAAGCCCAACCCATCTCCCGAGGCCCAGCGCGAACACCGCCTCCTCCGAGAAGTCTCCCTGGCACCCCACTGGTGACTCTGTCCCGGGTTGAGCTCCCACCGCCCCGGGCTCTGCAGGGGCACCTTCCTCTCCCTCTTTAATCGAAACACGGGTTCCAGCTCGGGCAAGGACCACTGGAAGGATGATGGGCCCCCGAGAAACACACAGCTTCCTGAGGCAAGCAGGGAGCGGCCCTCAGTGCCCTCGAGGACACATCACGGCCAGCGGCTGTGCCGCGATGGTCTCCCCAGGCCACCGGTCGGCACCGTCTGCAGCTCCAGCGAAGCGGATGGGCGCCTCCATCGGGGCCGTGTCCGCGTGCTCCTACCATCCTGCTCGTCTGTCTCCCTAGCTGCTGGGAGACTATGACAAGGTGAAGGCCGTGGCCGAGGGCTCCGACTGCCAGTGCAGGTGTGTGGTGAGGCCCCTGGGCCGGGACGCCTGCCAGAGGGCCGCCGAGGGGACCGCCAGGAAGGAGGATGTCTACACCGTGGAAACCATCACCTCCGGCTCGTCCTGCAAGTGTGCCTGCGTGGCTCCGCCGTCTGCCCTCAACCCCTGCGAGGGGGACTTCAGGCTCCAGAAGCTCCGGGAGGCCGACAGCCGGGATTTGAAGGTGGGACCTATGGGGCGAGGCCGTGGGGGCAGGGCGCCTGGGGACCTAGGCCTGGGGACCGCAGGCCTTTGCGTGGACCTGTGTTAGCCTTTAAAAGGGTCAGGCCCTGGGCCCAGTGCTGAGTGTGGAGCCGAGGTTGGTGATCTGGAAAACTGGTCACTTTCGGTCCTGATGTCCGAGGGAGAGGCCAAGAGCAAAGTGTGCCCACCAGTCCTTCTGGTGCCAGGGAGGCCAGGCCTAGGGGCAGGGGCCACGTCCAGCGGCCCAGGGGACTCAGCGTCTCCTCCTGGAGAAATACTGCCATGATCTGCTGTGCGCCCCACATGCGCCCTGAAGATGTGAGGGACACACAGGGAAGTGAGCCACTCAGTCCTAGGGCAGGGCCGGGTGACTCCGGGCAGGAGGGGCCGGGGTCCAGTCATCAGGGTGTGACCCGTGGTCCTGCTGTACTGGGCAGGGAGGCTTAGGCCTAGTGGAGCGGCCCCGCGGCTTGGCTGGGCCTCATCCGATCCTTGCTGTCCCCTGCCCATGTGGCCTGAGGCAGTGGACGAGCTTGGCATGGGAGTCAGACGGACTCGAGGCCCGATGGCTGCTGCTGCAGTGTCAGACTCAAGTTCCTACTCGTCCGGCCTCGGTCCCCTGAATGAAAGGGGGGACAGTAACACCTGCCTCGTGGGGTCGTTCTGAGAACGTCCTCGGCACAGGGCCCGACACGTGGCCGTGTGTGGTGTGACCGCTGTGCTGCGCCTGGCACTCACTCGGCCACTGGTGTTTAACTGGACAGCGAGTGACCCACGGTTCAGCCGCATCTCCTTGGAGCTGCAGCTCTGCCCTAAAAGTGCTTTCTGAACCAAGGGCAGCCACTGGCCGTAGGGTCAGGCTCCTGGGGCTTCCGGAACAGGCAGGCAGAACCCGCTGGTAGGAGTCAGAACGTCGTCACAGTATCTGCTAACATGCCCCGCCGTGGCCCTCAGCGGGGCTCAGCTGTGCCCACCTGGGGAGGAGGCCTCCCAGACACGAGTGTTTCACACGATTCTCGTCCAACGGCAAGGCTGCGAGGTGGGTGGGGGGCAGAGGTGCCCCGGGTGTCTAGCGGACGGGCCCAGGGACTGGCCCTGGGCGGGGAGGCTCCATTCCAGAGTGTCTATCTACCCGCGCCTGTGCCGGGCAAGCCCCCGACGCTGCCGCCGCCACCGCGGCTCCCGCCAGTGGCTCCGTGCCGGCCGGAAGGACAGCGCTGGAGGAGCTGAGAGGGTGGGGCCCACGGCGCCTCAGAGACGGCCACCGGTCTCGTTCCCAGGGTCAGCGTAGCTTAGCGTCCCTGGGCCTGCGGTAGACAGCAAAGTCGGGTGTTTCGAAAGCATCCCCGCGAGGCGCTTTGTCATGCACTTAGGGACCGCGCGTTATGGGCGGGCACCACGCTAACTAAGACGGGGGGACGTGGCGCTGCTGGATTCAGGGCTCACGGCCCAGCAGCAGAGACGGACGTGCGTGCGACGGGCAGACGGAGGCGCAAACACTTGCACCTGTGCTCGCGGGTCCTGCCGCTTGCGTGCCCGGCAGTCCAGGGGGCGCTGGGCCGATGCCAGTGCCCCTGCCCGCATGCCGCCGGCCCCTGCGCCCCGCTGCCGGCCCGGAGGCCGGCGTCCGGACGGGCCGTGGGCCCTGCGCTGACCCCGCCCCTGTCTTGCAGCTGTCCACCGTCATAGACATGCTGGAAGGTGCGCTCTACGGCCTGGACCTGCTGAAGCTGCACTCGGTCACCACCAGGCTGGTGGGGCGCGTGGACAAGCTAGAGGAGGTAAGGGGGGCCTGGGTCCCCGTCTTCCCGGCAAGCCCCAAGTGCGTCCGACTTCCCGCGGAAGTTTCTCGGAAGCTTAGTTCCTGAGCAGATAACCCGTTCTAGTCCTGGGAAAGAAAAGCACATGAAACACTCGTCCCAGATCACGCCAAACAGGTGGGGACCCGTCAGGTGTAAGCACCGTCTCTTCCCCCAGAACCTCACAATCGACGTGGCGTAGGTGAGGGGCGGGGTCCCCTGGCGGGGACACGCATCACTGGAGGCCTGCGGCTCACCCTCCTTGCCCAGGTCTCAGCCGGCGCCTCATGCGGCCAGATGCTCCACAGCTGTTTGGTTGGGGAGTGACAAGACGCGGCAGCTGGTGGCCTCCACACCCAGGCCAGCTGCCGGGCTCGTCAGCTGCATCCTGCCTGTCCTGTCAGCTGAGCGCCGGCTGTTTCTGGGGCTGGAGACAGCTGTCAGCTGGGGTGGCTGTCCCTGGCCACCTGGTCCCAGGGGTCAGGTTGCGGGAGGGTGGAGCAGGCTACTGGAAACTCCAGCCTCCAGCCGGGGTCCTCTGACCCCACACCTGCTCACATCACTCGCACAGAAAGCCTGTCCCCTCTGCCCGCAGGCCTGCCGTCTTCATCCGGGCCCTGTCCAGACAGACGCGTGTGGGTCACGTGGGGGCCGTGCCTGCTGCATGGCTGGGGCTCCAGCCCTGTCTCACGCAGTTCCCTCCTACAGCGCCCCCACACTCAGCTGGCCCGCCCTCCTCCCTGCCCGGGACACGGGCTCCTCACTGATGTCCTGGGGAGCTGGCTGAGCTCAGAGACCCAGCGAGGGAGCTGGAGAAGTGAGGGCCCGGAGGCCGGTGCTGGGTCGGCCCTGCCACTGCTTCGAAGGGTCTCGGGCAAGTCGCACCCTCACCCTGCGTCTCAGCTTCTTCACCTGTAAATGGAAGGCCTGGGCCTCAGCTCAGGTCTCTTCCAGCGTAACCTGTGGAAATGCACAGCCACTTAGCGTGTCCCACGCGCGTCCACTCAGGTTAAGGCCTTTACTCCAGGTACAGGCCACGTGGAGGGTGCTAGGACTGTCCCTAGGTCACACCTGAGCACGAGGCACAGGGAGTCTCGTGGTCATCCATGGTCACGGGCGTTGCGATGGCAGCAGTGGCATGTGACCCAGATGGTCCCCCAGAATCCATTCTAAGGACAGCACCCGGCCACCCCTGATGACACCTGTCGGGAACAACCGCCCGTCCAGCAAGACCACACACTGGGCCTTCCCGAATGAGACGGCCTTCTCACGGCTTCGGTTCTCACGGGTGTCCTGGACGGTCCACAGAGGCTGGCTCAGCCTGAGCCCAGGCGGCATGCCCGGCCCGTCCAGTGTGGCGAGAGGCCGTGGCCAGTGATTCCCAAGCCTGGCTCATTTGAACGAGCTGCAGTGTCACCGTTGGCCTGGACGCGTGCACAGCCCCAGCTCCAAGCCACCGGCCCCCCCGGAGGCCATGGCAGCCTGAGTTTTACGTCCCACATCCGTCTGGTAAAGAAAGGGGGGACCAAGTGCGCCTCCCCTCCCCCGCTGTACCCTCCTACACAGAGCCCGCAGGAGGACATCGCAGTTAGAAATTCGGGTGCCGATGGAAACCGTCGGCCAGGGCCCAAGGTGGGTGGCGTGGGACCCCAGCGCAGCAAACGGCCCAGACGTAGCCAGAGGAGAGAGGGCCCCCCGCGGGACACTGCCTCGGTGCCCGAGTCCAAGCCCTCCCCCGGCCAAGCTCACGAACCCGCCGTCACAGAGCCCATGGGCTCGGTCACCCTCCTGCAGCGTGGACCCCCGTGCGAGCCGCCATCTCCCCTGCCCCAGGACGAGAAGCCCAGGCTTGCTTAGGGCTCCTTCCTGCCATACGCTACCCTACACATGCCTATTCCTGGGACAGCTGGCACTGGGCAGTACTCCCAGCGGTGTGACCCACTGAAGCCACACTTCCCGGAGATGCTGCCTGGGGCCTGGGGCCTGGGACCAGCCCCCAGCACAGGGCTGGACACTCTGGGGCCTGTCGCTCCTTGGCTGGCATCTGTCTGTCCGTCAGGTCTCAGCTGCCTGCTTGTCTTCTGGGCTCTTCACTGGATCCTCCTCCTGAACTTCCTTTGTTCTCAGGAAGTTTCCAGAAACCTCACCAAGGAAAACAAGCAAATCAGAGACGACGTGGAGGGAATTCGAACTGAGATGAACAAGCGAGACAGAGAGAAGTGTTCCCGGGACGTCCCGGAGCGCGGCCCGGACGCCCGCTCAGCCGTG